GGATTATATACTTGAGCTACAGCAGCTTACACCAAAGGCAACTTCCTGACACTTGCTTCTCCTTATGGAGCTGACTAGTATCAGCCACTGTGCTTTTTGGTATTAGATAAATACCAGCATGAGATCTAAGCTGGGAGAAGAACAAAACAGTAGTTAGGAAAGCAGGAAAATTACCTGCTACATTTGCAATTCAGGTCATTTTTTTTCAAGAAGCTTTGCAAAGAAAATATAAAACAAAACCCATAAACACTGTGAAGCCTGCATCAGTATGAACTAGGGTTCCTCTTGGTTATATGGCAGGAGACCTCATCTGCATGTAGGTCACTCAGTCTTAAGGGGGGACGCAGGTTGCCTAGCTTAGACACCCATTTTCCACTGAGCAATCTTCCAAAAACAGTGCCTTATTCTCTATCTAGTCCAAGGAGAGGAGGTGCTTACATCTAAGGCAATAGGTATCTCAGAGGTATGAAGGCTGCTATGAGTGTCTCTGTCTGTCTGCCTCTCTCCCATACGTTCATCTGCAGTCAGGGATGCAGGAGATTTACTGCCAAGCTCCCGGTGTGGTGGATGTGCTGATGAAGATGCCACTGCCACAGTCCCTCATCACTACTGGAGCGTGTTCTGCAGCACTCCAACCAATTACGACGTCGCCCATTCTGTTGTAACACAAAGTGTAACATCATTGACTGCTAGGTAAGACAGACGGACTGTCTAGATGGAGATTTCAGCACAGAGAAGGGAAATTAAAAATGCAAAATAGAAAAACAGATGGCATAAGCTTCATTAAAATAATATCTTGTCTCTTGGGGATCCCATGAGGATCTGTTGCCTTCCAATGGATACAGAGCCCCCGAGATTTACACTTGGGGATTATTCTGTTCCTCGCTCTCTCCTTCTCACAACTCTCTTCTGTTTTCAAACGACTTGTGGTATGTGCTCCATCTGGATATGCCGCCTAATAAGGATGTGCTGGAGACATCTCCTGAGCACTAATGTATACCCAGCCCCCCACAGTGCTGTCAGGAGCCTCCTTATCAAGTGATTTGAAAGAAAGAAAGAAGCGTGGCTGAGCCTTGCAGATTCTGACAGAAAGACAAAGTAAGTGGGAGTGTTCGAAAAGTAAGAAATACATAATTAATATGGATACAATATCTGTAAGGGTTTAAGATGATGAACCACATGAACTGGGAGACGTTATTTCCCCTTGGTGTGAGATTCTCCTCCTTTTTGATGTGGCCTCAGCAGCATGTTAAATGTTTTACTGTTCCACTTATAAACCAGGTGTAACCTTTAGGAAGTCGCTAGAAATATAAGCCTCCTGTGAAGTTTTTCTTGTATCTAACTGACCTCCGCAGAAAACAAACGGCCAAGTGTTTTTATCCAGAGTGGGGGAAACCACCAAGGAAAAGACCATTCAAGCAGCAGGCTAAATCTGTGTTCAGTGTGTACAGCACAGCACAGTCTTTCTGTCACACTTCAATCACTGCAGCCTCTGGAAGCAAAAGTTGTATTCACGCTGAGTCGGTATTTAATCGAGCTCACTTGAACCAAGCTTCCAGCAAGCACATATGACAGATTTACATATGAATCTTCACAGAGTGAAAAAATGACATTTATCAACCTTCCATCAGAGCATTTGACATTTGAACAATTGATTCTGGTTTAACAGCAAAAAATGCCACTATCCATATGGAAAAGCTGCAATAGGATTAAAACCCTAGTTGCTACCATCCCCAACAATGGCTCTCCCAGTTAAACTATTAAACATTTATATACTACCTTAACTTTGTCTAGCCTTAAAGAGATTAAAAACCCGATCCTGAGTTTAATGCAGAAGAGACAAAAAAGTCTAGTTGGAGGAACAGGGGCCAGAGCTGGGAGTTGCCAGCTATTAAGCTGCTTGAAAATTGTAAAGGCTGGGAAGATAACAGCAGCAGGAGCTGATGCGGATTAAAGGCATGTTACACTGGCTACAGACAACACCGTTAGTCTCATTTTGCCCCAGGTAACCTAGAGCTCATTTGGGTATGGCTAAGAGTAGAGAGTCAATCCAAATACCACTAGGTCTGTGTTCACCTAATTAAAGAGGCATGTTGTTTCCACCAGCAGAGAGAGAGGTGTTTGAGCAGACTTCTCTCTGGAGACAAGGCAGGAAGATGCTCATCAGCCTTGCAAGACAACTCCTCTTAAGCAGGTAGGTTTCACCCACTGTTACCTTCATAAGCACATTATGGTCAGCACTGAGTATTCACTGGGCAGGAGCACTAGCTGGAAAGGAGGTCCTGGCAATGTTATACCTCCACCTACCACAAAAACCGTTTAGACTCTTCCAGTATCTCCCTTTGTGTCTCTACTGATGGACAGTAGCATTCAGCAGTAGATAAATGAAATAAAATTTTCCCTATGTGGGAAAGCAGAAGTTCTGCCAGAAAGACTAATCCTTCTGTTGTAACCGATCCTTGAAAAAAGCTGGTAAGCTCTGCAAGAAGTGTCACTATGGTGTATTTTCATGTATTGGTCCATTTTAGTAATTAGTTACCTTGCAATCGACTAACGTAACAGGCTTCCACTTCCTTAGTCGCCTCTGGATGGAAAATTCTAGTTTACAGCAGACTGAGTTTCTCCTGTCATATTTTTCTCATTTCTGTTATTCCAGTTTTCATATTTTTTCTCTATGGTATTTCTGAGTCTTTGTTGTACTGATGTCTCCAAAATATGCTATGACTAAATTTTCTCTGCTGACTCCTGCTTTTTGTGTCAAAGTCATTAATGAACGTATAAATTAAATGACTGCTGGAGAACTCCATTAGCATTATGGGGGTAATGGCTTTAAACTGGGAGAGGGCAGGTTTAGATTAAACATTAGGAAGACATTTTTCACTTTGAGGGTGGTGAGGCACTGGCACAGGTTGCCCAGAGAGGTTGTTGAGGCCCCATCCCTGGAGGTGTTCAAGGCCAGGCTGGACGTGGCCTTGGGCAACCTGGTCTAGTGGGAGGTGTCCCTGCCCATGGCAGGGGGGTTGGAACTCGATGATCTTCAAGGTCCTTTCCAACCTAAACCATTCTGTGATTCTATGTCCTTTCTTCCAATACTTTCTCCTTCAACACTACCTGACGTGTTTTGAGTTCCTGCGTGTCTCAATCTGCCAACTTTGCTTAAGCACCTAGTTTATAAAACTGAGGTTTGTTACAGATCTACCTTGAATTATCTTTTCATTTAATTTGCATGAATTGAACTTGTTATCCCTGAATCCAAATCTGTTTCCTATGATCCGATCTCCTATAATGTCCTCATGACTTACCAAAGACAAGCCTAAAATAGCACCATTTCCTGTCACGTTACCGAATGTCTGGAAGATATTTTCATTGCCTAGAAATGCAAGAATATCTCAGACTCACCAATAATAGTATCAACTGCTCTCCAACCTGATTCCTGATGTTAAATTATCCAAAACAACTACTGCAGTAGTAATTATGTCTCTAATAACATTACAGAACTCTCTTGGCAGTGAAAAAGGATCCTGGTGGCATATGGCATGCTGGTAGCGATAATCTTTTACCAAACTGTGAGCTGTGCTGTCATTAGCACATACTGCTGCTCCCTGCCTTTTCCTGAAAAGCAGCCACTGGTTTTAGAGTATTCATGACTGTGACTGCAGGATTCATCTACTGTCCCAATGCACTTGCTCATAGTCTGTATCAGTAGCTCAAGGTCCTCCACTTTCCTGCATAATCTTGCTGCATTTGCATATCCAACTTTCTGTCTTCTCCTTCCTAGTCACTCTTTCAGCAAGATCTTGCCTGTTCAACTACTTTCTTTTCCTTTGCCATGTATGGGTCTACTCTGTGACATTCCTTTCTGCACTGGTATGACCAGTTTTGTCTAATTATTCAATTTACCATGTACTCAGGGAGAGCCTTGGGACTTCACAAGTACTCCCCAGCCTTTTCCTGGTGTTTCTTTAAGGCTCCTGCTATAAGTGAGGCCACCACTAGCGTTTGCAGTAGTACTGCAGGTCCTTGGGTAAAACCTATCTATTGAGAACACCTCTTCAAAATCACACACCGGTGCCCAAACCTTCCCAAATATTCTTCAAACCTTACTTGACTGCTGACCTTCCCTGTCACTCATTTGTTACGGGCTAGAGCTATTCCACTGAACAAGTGGGCACCCACTTCTTTCAGAGCCTCCCCCAACATGGCATAGTCACTCTCAATCAGTTCCAGCAGCATCCTCTCAATGTCATTTGTTCTGATGTGAAGGACAACCAGGGGATTTCTTCCTGCTCCTATTGGGAAATTTTCCAGATTTAGATTCCCATTTTTTATCCATGCTCTGAGCAAAAAGCACACTGTTCCTTTGACTTGCCCTTCATCAGGTTCTTGAGGCTGTGTATCACAATAGTGGCTCAAGTTTTGGAGGCAGGACAGCCATGTGTGGATTGCTGTCCTCTTGTAAGCATTAGCTTACAAGGAGGAAGTGTATTGTGCTAACTGGATGATTCTGCTTCCAGAGCTTAAAAGACATCGCTCAGAAATAGGACGAGTATTTGTATGTGCAACTTTACAGACCTACAAGCCCTCCATCTCACAGTAACACAGCTTTACCCTTTCCTGGTAGTGGCCCAAGTCTCTGATCCTTTCCCTTTTGTTTGCAGTTATTCTGTCTTCTTTTTACAGTCCCTCTACATTACCTTACTTATTTACCCAGCCAAGCCTAGATCTTAGCTTGATAAAAATCTGCAGGTTTAAAAAGCTATGCCTTCCTTTCAAGGCACAGCTTCCTTCTTCTACCACAGCCCACGATACAGGGTCCTTACATGTTTGTAGGTCAGTTCCCTCAGCAGCAGAATCACAATGATTAAACCACTCTGTGAGTCGTTTGAGCAGGGTGGTATGCTCAACCACCTGCATGGGGATCTGCATACAACCCCATGAGCACTTCACAGTATTTCAGACCTTGGATGCAGCCTTTTCACGCTCCATCAGCAAAGACTCACCTAATTTCACTTGAAGTGGGGACGGCTTATAGTTCATGGCTACAGTCTCTCCCTCTCTCGTATCACAATCTCTGTCCGAAATAGATGCAGCTGTTGGATCCTGTTAAGACAGAAAAGAAAACAAACCAGAATGGTTTAGCTCAAAGTCTGCTTTAACTGGCTGTTAGGCAAGTCCATTCCCACCCGCGCTCAGAGGCAGCAGAGAACATGCTGGTGTTTTGAACGGCTGAAAGCCAGGGGCAAAACACAGAACTTTGGAAGAACATTTAATATGTTAGAAAGTACCTCTGGAAACGCCAGATTTCAATAGCAGACTTATATGATGGATGATACTGGGAATATATTGTGGAAGGTGGGTCATCAGTTCAAATTCAGGCTGGGCTGGCAGTAGTCCCAAACCATTTTCATGTGATGACTCTTTGGGGTGTTGTATGAAATGCATTTACAGCTTCAGCCGAGTTCCAAGTCGAGCAGTCAGCCTCAAGATTAAAACTAAAAAGCTTATGACCACCTTTCGAAAATCCATCTCAGAAGGAACATGGAATGAACGAGTAAGAGAATTCAATCTCTGTTCCTCTTGGGAGAGGATTGACAAAGTCTGTACGTCCCATGCTGGACCTATGCTGTGGTTAACTGTAAAGATTTAATTACAGTATCTGTCAGCATAGCAACTTTCACTGTCAATGAAATCGCTCTGAAAACCAAAGATCGCCAAACACAGAGCCCACTCTATCATGTCTATCTGCAGACAACCTAATCCAGGCAGTGTTGTACTCTATAGTACAGCACATCAAAGGATTCAAGAGAGGGACAAACTACCAATTCAGGTAGTTCTACCACTGCTAAAAACATTTAAAGTCCTTTCATGCCAAACTTCAAACTGCTGGAACTATCTCTACTTAGCACCATAGTGAAAATTAAAATTGGTTTTCAAACACATTCACTTCTTCCCAGCTAGAAACTAAATTGAACATGCATATACAAACACATATATGTGTATGTACATTTGGATTTATCATAGGTGGAGCTGCACAGGGAAAAAAAACATTCAATATTTAGTCCAATATCTGAAGAAACCATAACTTCTTTCATTGGAAGAAATGGAACACAGCATGAGAAACTAAATACTAGAAAATACCAGTCCAAACTGGTGAATTGATATTGTCCATCTCACAGTTTCTAGGGGTTGTGTATTGTACACAATCTCTTATAAAAATGCAACCCATCATTTGGCACTGACACCCGCAGGCAAGGCACAGTTACTGAGTTTCAAAGCAAGGTACCATCATTCTTTGCTCTCAGTAACAAAACCACCCAGTGAGCCACTGACCCTTCCTGCCCAGCACATGCCTTCTTTTTGCAGTGCACATTAGCTCTTTTTAATACACTGTGCTTATGAGATAAAATGTGATTCTTAAATTAGGCCCTATCTTCATAGAAACTGGTCAAATAACATATATAGGGTTATAATGTTTCATCAAAATTTTGCTCCTTTGCACTACCCAGTAGACTTTGACAGTACTTAAAATGGATGGTGCTTACAAGACTTTGCATTCAGTTACATTAAATAGAT